ATTTTTTTTCCTGTGGAACTGATATTCACAGAAGAAGAAGGCAGTTAGTTGAACACTTCTGGCGCATTTGGCGTCACTAAATCTTCCACAGACTCTTCAGCCTGTCGAATTATTTCCACATCAATAATCGCTTCAACACTGCATTTGAAAAATTGTATCATCCAAATCTGGTTCTGGATAATCATAATATCCATGTTTTATCAGTTTCAGCGCCCACGCCGTGATATATACGAGATTAACATGTTCTACAACAGGGTCGTGCCGTATATGTAACGGCTTAGGTATGCATAAATATATAAACTCTCAGAAAAATCGAAGTTATAGTAGGCTTCTCACTGGCTTAAGGGCACTTTGGTAATTATTTACAACTTGTAAAAGTGCACGTGGTTAGGAGTGTTGTGTACTTACTGTATTTATAGAAAAGAGAGGTTTACCGCAAAATATCTCTTTAGGTGTATATTCGAGACCTTGAAATGCTCTATTTAGCATAATGTTATGTTCTTATTAAGGTGATAAGGCAGTTATCACCCCTCAGCACATTGCAGCAACAATTCAATTATCAGTGGACGGACAGTATGGCAGTATTTCAAAACATTCCGTTCACGGAGCAACGAAGGCTAGAGGTGTTTATTTTTGCATTTGTATAATTTGTATAATTTTTATGTTTATACTTCAATAATAAAAACTAATTAAAATAAATTTTTCTACGAAATGCGAATGACGTTACCCATACGTCATTGGGCCCTTCACTATAAACATTTATGGGGCGTCACGTATACGGCGCTAACTGTTTACTTATCAAATATATCAATAAAAAAATAATCCAGAAGTAAATCATTTAACGTAAGCAATAACAAAATACTTTAAGCATTTTTTCTGTTGGAATTGGAAAACATGCCTTGATTTTTCATGGGCGCCGAAAGTGTTACATAATACACATACCTGTTCGATGTTGAAGCCACTGCCTCTACTGGAGTGACTGTGTCAGTGGTATTAACTATTTTTCTGAAGGATCCAGTCTTCAACCAGCGATCCATTGCTGAAAAACAAAATTAGAATTTTTTTTCAAATAACAAGTGTCGAATAACTGCAAATATTGCGCGAACTAAACTGACACCGCAAGGATCGAGTGACAGAACAAATACACAATACAAGAACGAAACATGACTAATCACTTCCGATTTCCGTCCGTAGGTACATTTTGTTTGGCGTAGTAAGGAGAGAGCGGTCTTAAACTAGTTCAGAAATGTCGTCTGACCTTGAAACGTCCCAGGTAGAATATTAGGAGCGCATGTCAAATCAGTATTTTAATTTTTAAAACTCTTATCTGTTTTTTTTCTAATGCTTAACCGTTTGTTATCGTCCTATGCGGAGCTTTTTTTTCTACTGTTTAACCGTTTATTATCGCCCTAAGCGCGGCTTTTTTCATATAGCAATTTCACCTGTAGATTCTTCGCTGAGCACAGTACATTTCAGTGGTGCCTATCTTTCTGCTTTTCGTTTTTCATAGAGTTCAAGATTCAGATGCATATGTTAGTATTGGGAATATTAAGCAGTTGTTATAGAATGTTAAGCATATGATCAACCTCATTTTTAGAGTTCGTGAAATTTGAGTCCTTCCATATTTTGGTCATCTTTCCTATGGTGACTTTTGCTAGATCACATCTACGTTTTATTTCTTCCTGTAGTGACCCTGAACTCATAACCTCAAACCAGTCAACGTGCTTATGTGTGGATGATGGATATGTAGTCTACCCACTATCATGATGTGATATTTGTCTTTCGTTTTCAACTGGCCGTATGAGATCAATTAACTCTTCTTAACTATTTGCAAGAGGGGCTGCGTCATCTGCAAAACGTAGTTTGTTTATGCCATTTATTGAGATGTCCTGTTCCCATCCTTCAAGCACTCTTCCCATAATATGCTCCCCATATATATTAAATAATTATGGAGATAGTACATTCCCATTATTGGGGATGGTTGACACACTTGTTAGATAATTATTATTTTCTTTGGCATTTTTTACAATCTCTTGTTAAGTATTTTTTTCATTAATAATTGATATCTCGTCTGCACTTTAGGCAAGTATAAAAGAGAACTCAATAAAGTTAAAAATGTAGATACAAATTTAACTACGCATTAAGTGACCTACACTACCCAGTCTGTCTTTGGGGTTGGTTGGCACAGACTCACACAGGTTTAGGAAATAAAAAACTATGTGTGTGAAAATAATTTTATTATCCTACGTTTAACAAAGAAAGATTTATTTCAAATTTATACATTGACTCAAGTCTTTTAGCTCTCCCAGAAAATAAAGGAGGCGTAAGATTGTTTTAATGTCGTTCAAATTTATAACAGATCTGTCTTCCATTAGAGAAAATTGGAAGCTTCCAACGCATGTTTTACTCTTACGCAAAAATAACACCTCCCATTCCTGATCATTGTCCCAGGAGCAACAATTTTTTCAATAAAATATTTTCTTTTTGACCGGGTATTGTCATTATCCACCTATTTTACTAAAACTAATTAGACTTTTCTAGGAGGTCTCTCAAGCTCCTCAAAATTGTCAGGATTAATCGTCATCGGTCATAATGTCATCGGTTGTTTCTTCTGGTTCTATTTTTTTTTAGATTTTTTAGTTTCATCTTATTTTTATTTGTTTTATTTTCTCTCACTTCACGTTTTCTTTTTGCAGCAGCTTTTTCTTCTTCCAGAGCGTCTTTAATCGGTGTATCAGTAAATATAGCTGTAGATCTTTTTCCTATTATTCCTTTTTTGCATTCTTTCTTTGGGGAGCTTGGGGCAGCGGTCTAAAGGTCTCCAGCGGGGACATTAGATATTTGTCAGACGTCACAGTTGGTATTTCAATGGGTTCTTGTTCAATTTACACCGCATTATTCGATTCTGGTTCATCAGTTTTTTTTCTCCGGAGTATGCTCATTTCGTTCTGGTCCGTCTGTTACAGTCCTAGGTAAAAATTCTGAGTCGTGAAAAATTAATCTATTGAACGGAAATATTCCTGACACTTTAAACCCATTAATAACATTCATTTGACTAACTAACAAAGAAAGTGTTGTTTTTACGATACCTGGGATATCGTAAATTGACATTGTAGCGCCCGGATGGTTCCTTAGGTACAGTCATCTAGAGTTGTATTTATATATTTTTTGAAAGGCCCATACACACTGCGATCCAAGGGCTGTAATTTATGACTACAGTGCGAGGGAAATGAGAGAATACACACACACCATTATTTTAAACAAAATGTTTAACGAACTCCAAAAATTGTGCTTTTTGCATCTATCCGGAGGGGTTGGCTGAGCCAGAACTTCCAGCGAGTGCACCATTTAAAAAATGGTCCTTAAAATGGACACGTGGAAAAACAAAAAATGGAGGAGTTACCTATTTCTGAAACAGATACGGTCATGATTACTACAGTACTTCTCTCATCCGAAGTGATTTTGCCAATTTATTTAAAACCTGTTCGTGCTACAACGCGATCAGGCTTTTGAACGGTGGTGGTGGTTCCCGTTTCATCCATATTCCGTATATCACCTGCCTCAAAGTGGTAGCGGTCCATAACGGTTTGTAAGTTGTCAAAAAAAGCATTAACTTTATGGACTGCTGAAACTCGAGCCAGACTGGTAGCTAGAATTTCTCTTTAGAAAAGCGCTAAACCAATCAGGGTCAGCCACTTTAAGCGCTATCCTAGAATTGGGTATTTCTTTTTTTAATGTGTAGCATATTGGTACGCAAACTTTCATTCACCTCCTTTGGTCCCAAAATACATATTCGCAGCCTTTTTTAAGTATTCACACAGTTCCTCCTCTTCGGATATTTAAAATATTTGAAAATAAACAAAATTATAAACCTGCTAAAATTTAAAATAAACTTCGCATAACTTCTTATTTGGTTGGTAACCAATAAGATTCTTAAATTCAATTGCATTATAATATAATATAATAATTCAATATAATTCTACGTTATAGATCTTTGCACAATATCTTACAAGAGAACGAAATGAAATATGTCACATCAGTTATTCTAATACTTATTTTCTCTTGTTTTCTTAATTGTCCTTACCACAACATCTTGAGGTTGACCCACCCTTGTACCCTTTCGTTTTTGATTTCTATCCATTTTTTTAATGAAAGTTGGAAATTCACAGGAAGTGAATTATGTAAGGTTGTGACAAATATATTTAGTGACTATCTCTAAAATTGTGCCTGTCACGATAGATGGCGCTCCAAATATGGTTGGAAAAATGTGAGGTTTGTAAAATTCGACATCCAGTTGTTCCTTGCTTTTCATTAGTTGTAACAAAAATAGTGAATTTCATAGCTGCCCGGCCATCTCGGATAGTATGAATCCTAAACACTTCTATTATACCCAACGTTATTTTGAAGTTGAAGGGTAGAAGATTTTTTCCTGTGAAGCAATTATAACTAGGTATACTCTCGTGGAGAAAAGTTATGGGACAAAAAGAAAAACTGCTTTTTTTCCTGTTTTTTTTGCTTTGTTTTTGACTATATTTTTTGTCAAAAAAATATTTTTGACTTTAAAACATCACATTTCAATTTTTTAAAAACCAAAAACGAGTTTTTTTATCATTTATAGATCTCCGGCTTTTCCCTTGTCTTACAAATGTGTAGTAGCAGAAAAATATATGTATTATAATGCTGAAAAACACGTAATAAATAAAAAGTGTTTAAAAAAATTAAGGATTTTTAAACTTATATTTTTCCTAACATCTTACTCCAACACTGTAAATATAGTCTGTTATAAAAATTAACGCTTATAAAATCATGAATGTGATTTAACAGATGTATTAACTTTAAATTAAATCATTTAGTACAACCATAAAGTCAGAGATTATACATAGAAAATTTATTTTATAATCTATTCTAGTGCTGCTAGATTACTAACACGAATGATTAGCAATAATTCATAATAGACTAAAAATCTGTAAAGTAATTACGCATAGTAATAAATCAGTCTCATGAGGTAATTTTACGGCCGTACCAAAATATGTTTTTGGTATGTTGTATTAGTAAACATTTGTGATTTAATCCCATATATTATTAGTGTGATTAACGTTCTTAGAATTGTATAAATGTTAATCGGCTTTTCTTCGGGTCTTTCCTACGTTGGAAACAAAATAATTCTCATAATTGAATCTTCCGTGGCTCACATACTTAAAATAATTATGCACTGTGTCCGTAAAGTATGGAACAAATTCATTTTTAGCTAATCAGAGCATTTTAAGAATTTATCCTGAAACACATCGATTTTTGATTTTAATTTACCGTATTTTAAAATAATATTGTAATATACAGGGTGAATTACTTTCGAGTAATGACGTCACCGTCATTTTTTTAATGGAACACCCCCATTTTATCACAATTTTCGGATTACTCTAGCCGAGCTGATTCCAAAAATGTATCACATGTTGATTCAAATTGGTACAGGGTGGACAAAAATTCAATAGTTTTGTGTGTGTTCATAAAGTAACGCGGTAGTTAAATTAACAATATTATCAAAAATACTTATTGTCTAGCGGACAGAATATGATGAAATATATGACTTTATAAATGTTCGAACTGCAGCCCTTGCTGTATTTGACAGTAACCCAAATATTGTACAAAATCTTGTTGAACCTTGTTTATTGTGTCTTAAGAAATATTGTTTATTGCTGTCCGAATGCTCTGTTGTGATTCTTGAATATTTGCTGGTTTCGTTTGATACACAACATTCTTCAGATGGCCCCACATAAAATAATCCAAAGGATTGAAATCTGGTGACCTCGCTGGTCATTCAATAGGTTCACGTCTACCAATCCACCTGTTCGGAAAAATTTAATCTAGGTACCTTCTAACATTTACAGTATAATGTGGAGGTGCACCATCATGTTGCAACCATAAACTTTCATCAAAACCTCCAGGATTACGTCTGCTGGGAAACAAATTACGTAAAGTAGGTTAGATACCCCCTTAAAAACGTTGCCCCATTTAAATTGCCTGATTAAAAAAATGTGATACATTTTTGGAATCAGCTCAGCTCGAGTAATCCGAAAATTAAGACAAAATGGGGGTGTTCCATTTAAAAAAAATGACGGTGACGTCATTACTCGAAAGTAATTCACCCTGTATATTAGAATAATATTTTAAAATACGATAAATTAAAATCAGTCGAAAATGGCAGTCGATAAAAAAAAACAAGACAAAACCAATCAGTGTAGGTATATACTCTGAAGATCAGGTAACCACCATATATGTACATTAAGGATGATTCTCGAATTGATCTTATGGTTCTATAAAATAACAAGGCGATATTTGGGTCAGCCCCCCATTTTGTATAACAAAAGTCTCTCGGTATTTTAATAGCATTTTCAGACTATTTTGTTATTTGAAGGATACAATCTTTCCATAACAGTTTCCGATCTAGATATAATCCTAAGTATTTCACAACATTTTTTATTTGGAAATTATAAGGTCCCAGTTTTACATGATCCTGTTCAATGTTTCGTTTTCGGCTAAATAGACACACCTCTGTTTTGTGCTCAGACAGTGTAAAATAATTTTCATTCAGCCACTCGTTGAAGATGTCTATAAGTTTTATTTAATTCATATTCACTTCAAAGTTTCAAAGTTTTTCCTTGTACAATAAAAAACAATATCATCTACAAATTATATTGTTCGTATGTTTTGAAATTTAACACTGACATTTATTGTATATAATAAAAACAAAACTGGACTTAAAATACTGCCTTGGGGGAGTCCTAGGTTCGTAGTTCTAGGAACCTCTTTATACTGTGTTCTAGGCATCGAGCAATAAGACAAAAGAGGGAATCTAATCCTTATGAAAAGGAGACCAAAAAAGTGGCCTCTGATGGCGGACATATCCGGAAATGCGAATGCGCGAAATTTAAATTTTCCGACACTTATCAACAGTAGCTATATAATATTTTTCAGAATGTGTCTTAGACGAGAAAGTTTTAATTAATTATTAATGATAAGAGTCTAAAATGCGACACAATTGTTAAAAAACTTCAATATAAATAAGATTTCATGTGACATTTGGGACAAACAATAACATAACCCAACTAAATTTGATGTCAAACAAGGAGAGAGACTCTCTTTCCTTGTTTAATGTGGCCTCTAAAGATCGCACTTCCTGTCTAACAATATGTTTGCCCCCACTACCTTTACATTCCCTCTATTGTCTTTTTGCTCGATGGTTCTAGGTATAGTGGTTACTTGATTTATTTTTATATATTTTTAAAATCGACTTTCTACAGCGTTTTTCAAACTTAAACTCGATATCACATAACACACGATATAGTGTGCTTCATAAAAAATTGGGCAAATGCTCCGCAGTGTTTACTGTAGCCAAAACAGAGTTGATTGTCGGTGGTCTATTTTTCCGAAAGAATTGGTGCATTTTTCTACGGATACCGCTCTTTTCTGTCTCATGCTATTTATTTAAACGAGTTGATAAAATTTTACCGATTTCAGGCTTTTTCTTCGGTTTTTGGAGACTTGTAAATACTACTTTCAGAAACACCACAAATTTTAATATATCAAATAATTAATTATTATCACAGCGATCCAAATGATAGTTCGTAAGATTAATGATTATCTGCTTTTCTGAAACACTGAAATGTAGCCCGTTCTCGTGGAACAATTACGTGCGCCATTACTAAATGTATCCAAATTCGTAAAAATAACACAACCAACACTTTAGAAATAATTGCAATTTTCAAAGTTACTGTAACTCTATAGATTTTAGCACTAATCAGATCATTATGGGAAACGAAACGGGGAAAAAAGTAATTTTATAAAGTGATATTTTGTTACCTGTCAACAGAGATAAAATGTCAAACGTGTTTCCCGTCATACAAAAATCCTTTTAAATTTTGTTCTGAAGTACATCTTTTAATACTTAAATTCTAAAAAAAATTGTTGAAATCGCTGAATAACTTCAAATTTTACACACACGTTTCCAATCTAAATATGTCACACTCCATAACTACAATAGTTTTGTTTCTTTGTTTATGTACTTAACCGCTACAACATATCCTGCACTAGACAATGATATTGAAATAGTTAATTTTAATCGTTTAAATTATTTTTATTTGCCCAGCCAATTTATGTTGTCATGGTTCCGTTGAACTTGAAATTATTACGATTTTTTTTCTATTATACATTATTTACACTTCCTTGCAGGTCATTCCTCTCTATAAAAAATGTTGCGGGCTTTGGTGTATTTTGACTTGCTCGCTTTATTTTTATTAATAACGAGGTATCTTTGAATGGTGAAATAATCTTAAAAAGTACATAGGATTGGTATTACAAAGCAGTGAGGAAATAGACGGATATATGTAGGTATAGTAGAGTTAGAGCAGAGTGGACGGAATTAAGTGAACGAATAGACATACGGTATTAAATTTTGGGTACTTAAAAATAGTCTAGCGTTGTAGAAATATGAATAAAGATAAATAGGATTAAATTAAACATGAATATATTTTATTTGTACCATCGGACGATGCAAAAATGGAAGAGTATATGCTAAAATAGTTGTTAGGGTACGTTCATTAACGAAATACCAATCGCTTCAAACAATTCAACACAGAATATACGTACATAGGGAACACTACATGAAGATAGTTTTTAACGCTTTATCTAAATATTTTCTTCAATTTATACTTCACTATTATATTATGTGACGATGTTCTTATGTAGGTACTATCTTTGTAGTATTATAAATTATCTGATATTTTTAGATATATAGAATTTAGATATTTAGATAGGTGCATTCTGATATCCCTTATATCAGAATGCACTGCTAAGACTCATTAAAATTTTGTTGCTTTATTTACTTATTCCCAAGTACTTCCTTTAACCGTCAATAAATTCAATTGAGTCACATATTTTTTGTTTAACACTGTCATTTTTTTATAGGTACCATAAAGCTGGTTGGGAAGAAGTTTTTAAACCAGTAAGCGATACCTGTACGGATCCTACGGGTAAAACAATAGCCAGCTGGCCTGGAAATACGGAAACTCAAGTAATCAATTTACCTATAATTGATTCACTTTCTCCTAGACCTCCATTTTTACCACTTGCCATTCCGGAAGACCTGGCACCAAGGTTAACACGATTACACGGAGACCCCATCGTGTGGTGGGTAGGTCAGATTTTGAAGTATCTTTTAAGGCCTCAAGAAAAAACAAAGAAGATGCTTCAGGACACTATGGCTAAGATGGGTTTCAAGAGACCAATTGTAGGAGTTCATATTCGTCGTACTGACAAGGTAGGTACTGAAGCTGCTTTCCATGGATTGGAGGAATACATGGCTCATGTTGATGAATATTACAATGGGCTAGAGTTAAAGCAAAGAGTAGACAAGAGAAGGATATATCTCGCATCAGACGATCCAAAGGTTTTTAAAGAAGCTCAGAAACTATATCCGAACTATGAAATAATCGGCGATCCTTCCATAGCGAAGACAGCTGCAGTTTCTACCCGATACTCTGACACTTCTCTATTTGGTATAATTAACGACATCAATATGTTATCCATGAGCGACTATCTGGTATGTACATTTTCTTCTCAAGTTTGTAGGGTTGCTTACGAAATAATGCAAAACTATTATCCAGACGCCACAACCAGATATCGTTCGCTAGACGATATATACTATTATGGCGGCCAAAATGCGCATAATATGATCGCGGTGTTACCCCACGAACCAAAACGAAAAGGTGAGATGTATGTATCTGTGGGGGATGTCATAGGTGTCGCCGGTAATCACTGGAACGGGTTCAGTAAGGGGCGGAATCTCAGAACAAATCAAATCGCATTTTATCCTAGTTTTAAAGTAAAAGATAAAATAGAAACTGCCAAATTTCCTACATATTCCGAGGTACATAAAGCTCAATAATACAAAAGTGTAATAAATAGTGATGATTTACCATAGGAGGGTTGTACTACGTGCCATTTAATCCATCCACCAAAAATATATATTTAATTAACAATCTTACTTGTTAATTCAAATATTTTTATTTATTGAAAAAAATCTGATATCTATAAAAATTTTATTATTAAGAAATATTATCTATAAGAAAATGCTTTATCTCGGTACATACAGTATGATGCAAAATTATGGAATAAATTCATTATTTCAGAAACAGACGACTTTTACAAAAACTCTTAAAACACGTCAATTTTAATTTTTAAATAGCCATCAATTGCTATATATGTGTTGGCCATTAGGTCATTAGTGTATACGTAATATCGTAATCGACGATTTTTTAAATACAAACCGATATCTATCCGTATCACGGGATACCTTACTCGAAAGGTTTCCTAAACGTCTTTGCAAGGTTATTTTAAATATATAAATAAATAAATAGGTTTCCTATTTATTTCTACTAGGTTAACCAAAATTGTTGGTTTATTGATGCAATTAACTTATAACAAATTTTTAGTAATATACAATAAAATTATAAGAAATATTTAAATTGACGACCTTCAGCAATGATGCAATGAGAAAGACGAGCAGTAAATTCTTTACTAAACTAATTTAGTTAATGAGTATTTATTGTAATTCCATTTTACTTAAAAGCACATAATTTTGATTAACACTGTAGAAATAAATATTCGAATAATACATCGTTGCAAAGGCGATTAGGAGAGCTTTCAAACGAGGTGTCCCGTGACCTCGGTTTATATTTAAAAAAATTGTCGATTACGTATTTACGCCAACACTGATGACGCAATGTCCATATATAGCAGAATATTGAGAAAAACCAAATTAAAAAACTCACAATCTTGTATAAATAGTGATGTTATATTATAAATAAAGTGTAGTACGACCGGTTTAGATTTTTATCTGTTATACATTATCATCAGGCCATACAAATTTGAAACAAGATAATAATACAAGGCTACATGCTATCTTGTTTCAAATCTATGTGACATGGTAATGATATGTTTAACAGATAAACACTTTATGTATAACTATAACTTTATAGCTGACCCGGCGAACTTCGTACCACCTTAGAATTGAATAATATGTGTAAAAAATTAACAGAAAATAAAACAAAAGAAAGAATCCAACATATTATACATGAAACAAGTTGAATCAAATCATGAATGTGTTGCCTGTGTGAGTCCATTTCAAATAGGTAAAAAGAAATAAAATAAGACATAATCAATTTAATTTTACCACCAAAACGGCCGGTTTTACATTCTACAATTTGCTATGCATCTTCAGGTCTAACGGTACCAGGTAAATTAAATGCTGAAATTACAAAAACTCACATTAGGGTACTGTCTTATAAAGATAACAATTAAAGCAATTATGCCAATATTATATGTCTGTGATTATTAATGTGAATAAAATTGATAAATCAGACAAAGTAAAACCCACAAATTCTTATAAGATAATTTATTGAACTGAAATAAATTAGTAAATAACCAAGATACTACTTACATGTCGGTACAAGAATTATTAATTAGTGATTTGGAAAACATAGTTCAAACTATCCTGGATTGCTGGTGATGAGTAATTATCGGTTTTATTGTAACTGTTTGACAATTAGCGGGGAAGTTCTTGAGGAGAGAGATATTAACAAATTAAATAGGAAGTAGGTATTGTGTAAATGTTTGTTAAAAGAAAGTGATGTTTTATATTATTCAAATTATTTAAAAGTTATTTACATTTATTCCATAGGTATATTTTAGAAATGTGTGTTAATTTATTGAATTATTTATTAAAAGAATAGCTATATGATAATAAATGAAGGTAGATGTATAATTTGTGGGTATGCAATTACTTGAACTAGTAATTATCAAATTGTGATAAATTAATTTTTGTTTCTGTTTTGGCAGAAAATTGTGATGTCTAATATATTAAAATTAAAACAATTAAAGACAATCAAGGACACTTAGGGACAAACAGAACACAATTAAAAAGACAAAACAGACATTAATTTAAAAAGTACTTAGTGGTACTTCTAGGATATATACTTCCACTTAGTGGTATTACATTACTTATTAGGAGAGGAACTGGCAAAAAAGTTAGTTTTTTGTTGTCTACTAGATTTTTAAGAGGTAAATTTGACAAGCTATTGTAGGTTAAAGTATGACAGTTCTTTTACCTAAAGTTGAATCAATTTAATACTGTCTGATAAAAATACTTTTATTTTTTTGGCGTTAAATAAATATACAACGAAGACGGTTTTCCGACACGCGAATAATTACTCATGCACGAAACATGGAAAGTTTAATTCCGTAAACTTACAACGGTTGGCTTTGTAATTTGTTTATTGTCATTGCATAAGCCAAACACACTGGGAATTGTAAACATTTAAAATCAAATGGTACGTTCGTTGGAATCAGCGTATGCGCGGGATCAAGACATCCTCTCCTTTGTGTTTTTCCTTCATGATCGTTGTCGTAATGACATTATTCATTAGTTTATTCACAGTCAGTCTCGTTCCGTTGCAAAGTCTAGGTTGATTAATGTTATGCTGCATAATAACTACTGACCCTACTTTCAATTGTAAATGGTTAGGTGGGAGTCCAGGCAATCCCAATGAATTCAAAAGTCTGTAGAATAGTTGACTACGTCATTCTGATTTATAACTGTGTCAACTGATTTGAACAAAAATAAATTTCCTGGAAGAAACTTCTGAGTAGTATATTTAACCGAATATATATATATATATATATATATATATATATATAATATATATGAAGTAGCAATAATTATATCAAACAGCATTAATAAGTGTGTCACTAACTTTATCCCAATATCAGACAGAGTAATTTTAATACAGCTGAATGCTAAACCTGTAAATATAAATATCATCCAAGTTTATGCTCCCACTGCTGACGCAGATGAGCAGAATATTGAAGAATTCTACCATCAAATAGAAGAAGTGCTAAAAATAACAAAGAAACACGAAGCAATAATAATTATGGGTGACTTTAACGCTAAAGTTGGACAGAAGATGACGCAGGGCATCACCGGAAAGTTTGGCTTGGGAGAGAGAAATCAAAGAGGTGAACGGCTAATATAATTCTGCCAAGAAAATGACTTCGCCATTACAAATACCTGGTTTCAACTTCCAGAAAGGCGTCTTTACACGTGGAAATCCCCTCAAGATGGACATCAAGGCAGAATAGTACGGAATCAAATAGACTACATCCTAATAAACCACCGATTTCGAAACAATATTAAAGATGTAAAAACCTACCCCGGCGCTGACATAAACTCAAATCACAATTTACTCTGCTCTGCTCATAACACAGCAAATAAATAGTAAAATCCACAGAATATCAAATATACCAAACGAAAACAGAACCATTAACGAATGCTGGTATGCCATTCAAAACTCGATTTTAGAGAACGTACAAGAGTCTTTGAAAACACCTACCATGTTGGCAAAAAATGAGTGGATGACACAAGAAATTCTAGATCTGATGGAAGTTCGACGGCAACACAAAAATAGAAATATTATCGAATATCGTGAAATTAATAAACGCATAAAAAGAAAAATTAAGCAAGCCAAAGAATCCTGGCTTGAGAATTTATGTAAAAAAATAGAAGACCTCCAAAAAAGCATGACAGCTTCAACCTGCATAAGAAACTTAAATATACTGCCGGAATTAGAAAACAGAAAAAAGCTCACATACTTAAAAGCGCGGACGGAAAAATTTGTGATCACGAACAACAGTGCAAAGAATGGGAGAGATACATCACTGACCTTTTTGACGATGCTTCTAGGGAAAATGCTCCAAATACTGCCTATGACAACCAGTTGGACAGAGGTCCCAATATACTGAATTTGGAAGTCGAAAAGGCAATACAGCAAGCCAAAAACAATAAAGCACCTGGACCAGATCAAATCCCTGCCGAACTACTTAAACTTTTGGATGAGGAAAGCATTGCCTGCTTAACCACTTTCTTCAACAAAATTTACAACGAAGGAAAAATACCAGATGATAGGTTAGAGTCACTGTTTATATCATTACCAAAGAAAAGCAGGCCCACCAAATGCAGCGATTTTAGACTAATCAGTTTGATGAGTCACACACTGAAGATACTCTTACGAATTATACAAAACCGAGTATTCCTTCTATGCGAAAGTAAGATGGGTGATAAGCAATTTGGATTTAGAAACGGTCTAGGAACTAGAGAGGCACTATTCTGTATGCGCGTTCTATTACAAAAAAGTTGTGAATTCCGAAAGAATGTTTATGTTTGTTTCATCGACTTCGAGAAGGCGTTCGACAGAGTCCAACACAATACACTTTTCGACTGCCTACGGGCAGCAGGACTTGACCACTATGATATAAGACTGCTGAAATACTTATATTACAATCAAGTAGCCTCTATCCAAATTGGAGACAGTCCCACTGAAAAAATACCCATCAAACGTGGAGTACGGCAGGGTTGTGTTTTGTCACCCACTCTTTTTAATCTGTACTCTGAAGAAATCTTTAAGGAGGCTTTGGATGACAGACAAGAGGGAGTAAGACTAGGTGGAGAAGTAATCAACAATATTAGATACGCTGACGATACAGCCATTCTTGCAGAAAGTTTACAAGATCTCCAAACATTACTAAATCTAGTCAGTGAAGCAAGTTATCGGAGAGGCCTAAAAATCAACATTTCAAAGACAAAGTGGATGGCAGTTGGAAAGATCCATATAGATCAAGGTCTGCTTTCTCTTAATGGAGAAGAGATAGAAAGGGTAAATCATTTCAAATACCTGGCAGCTGGTTAAATGTAAATTGTGACTCTGATGAAGAGATAATATCCAGGATCGAAATATCACGTAAGGCTTTTATGACCTGGAAACCAGTTTTATGCAACAGAAACCTGTCAATGAATATTCGTAAGAAGGTCCTGAAATGTTTTGTGTGGTCGAT